CACCAACAATATTCTTAAGTCGAACAATACATAAACCTAACAATTAATGGTCTCAAACAACTTTATAAATACCACGGAAACCATTAAACCAGATTCAAATCCGACAATCACATCGAAAATCACATACACAGAATCGATCAAACCCTTTAAACACAATCATATTTCGCGGCTGCGCCTGATGAGACCCCAGGCTGCCTACGTACCCTTGGACAAGGGATCAAGCCACACGTAGTTCTCATCTGAACAGTCACAACTCCGATAATATACAATTATTTGAAATACAACCAACAATACATTTCAGATTTAACACAACTCCAATTTCCGACAAAAATACAAAGAACACATTCTCAATCTCTTTCTTTATATCAGTTCAAACCCCACAACCATACCCTATCCAAGGCGTATGTTCAATGAACACATCATCAAATTACTCCCTTTATAACAGTTCAATCCCACAACCATACCCTATCCAAGGCGTATGGTGCCAAACAACACTGCCCAAATCCAGGGCTTATACTTTCGTATATAAACAGGGTACTCACAAAGTACAAACTTACGAATCTCAAACCAGAATCAAAACCATATATACATATATGTAATATAATAACACTCACCTCTCACCATCATCATGTACCAGGGGAAAACAATCCAACAGGGGATCGTTTGACTAGTCCACATTTAACAGCCCTCAAACGACATGTGGCTAGGGATGAGCCGTCCAACCGGGGGACTAACTCTCAGCCAGCACGTACGGACGAAGAATCAAGACCCGTACGCCTGTAAACAGTCCTACGCGCGCAGACTACCCAATTAAGGGTTCCATCATATCCAAACCATATCCACAATTTTTCCGGCATCCCACAATTCCAGGATCCGTGACCAAGAAAGCCCACACGCCCGAAACACGGCACGTGTGTGAATAGTAACCAAACCATATCCATATATCCATTTCCATGTATCCCAGTGTCCATATCCACTGTTTCCAAAAATCATAATCCAAGGGGGAGGTACGTATGATGGTGGAGTTCGTAATCCTTATATAAATATTATATAAATAATATTCCCATCCTTAGTTCAATTTTCCCAAAATAAAATACATATTCATAGTAGACAAATAACTCTCAAACATAAAACCCATAACCGGGGAAATACCTAAGATAGTGTTTTCTCAAATATTATATATATAAACTCCAAGACCCTCGAACATATCAAATCCACAAATATATCACATATACTTTACAAAGTAATAATCTCGACTATTAAATATAAAGTGCATTACAATAAACCATTTAATTCATATGCATAACATTTCCATCTTAAAACCATGCCATTTATTTGAAAGCAATACCCATTCTTTTCCTAATAATCATAACCGAGTCCCAAGACTCACTTTCACAACTCTACGAATCGAGTATCCCATAATTATTCATTTCATAATTTCAATTATCAAAAATTATCCAAGAATCCCATAGGATATTATAAACAAGCTCATACTCACAATATAATCCAAATAACTCAAATAACAATTAACACTCGTTCACAAGGTCATCCTAATACTTTTCGAAGTATGAAACTACCTCGGAAGACTCACGGTCAACCGAGAGTCAAACTTTCTAAATTTGGTCAACCGGGCCCGCGGGCCCCACGACCTCCATATTTCGATCCGAACATCCCTAAGGGTTCCACAAGGTTTAATAAACCTATCCTTCAAGTTTGGTCCGAATCCGACGGTCGGATCACTCACGATCGCACGATCAGACGATTATCGTAAAAATACAAACTTTAACTTATTGAACCGGAACATCCGGGGCTCCGATTCACGATCCGTGAAATCCTACACAATCCTAGGAATACCTAGATTAACATATATTAAATTGGAAGCGATCCAACGGTTCTAACATATCGAACCCGGAATTCACACAATATGTAAAATCCGTTCGGGGTTCAAACGTTATCCGAATTGAGTTCCGTAAATTCCTACACGCTCGTGACAACCAGGAGATCATTTTAGGATAAAAATGTCTCTCTGCTACAGTGCCACACCACACGCGCCGACAGCACGTGGGTGTCCAAAGCGATAACCACTCGCCGGAAAAACTTAACATCTTGACTCCGAATTCCTACTCTAGGTAATACACCTAATTTGGAGTCACTTTTGTTCTTGAGCTATGGCCAAAAAGTGGCCGGAAGTGGCCGGAAATTCTAACTGAAAACCGGCAGAATTTAAATTCACAAAACGGACTACAAACTCTCAAAATTTCTGGAATCCTATCCCATAGGCAGCTAGAGCACGAAAATTAGTCCAAAAACCATACCTCACTCGTCCAATTTGGTGGAGAATTGAGGGAGAACGAGCGACCCAAAGTTTCTGAAATTTCCGGCCGTTTTTCTGCGTTTTCTGGCGGGATTCATCGGCTCCGAGGGCTGTGCTGGCCGGGGAAGAGAGAGGAGGAGGTGGCGGTTCGATTGGGACCGGTCTCGTGGCCTATTTCCTCTTAAATTAATTATTTTACTTCTTTTTAGGACCGGGATGTTACAGGGACCTTTTGTGATAATAGACATGAACATTTATATCTTTATTCATTTATTTATTTTTGTTTTGGAAATTGCAATACGGTGTGAAGGTTCAATCCTTCTGTATTTAGTTTGTTTTTATAACCTCACAATTCACATGTAAAAACAGTCGAGAGGTAAAAGACAGAAATAAAGTGGAATTCTGTTCTTTTTTGGTAACCTTGATGTTCCTGAATCTTCCAGTTTTCCTCTATTCTAGATCTGTTCATTTGTTCTAGATGCTTGCAAAGATAGGGTATATTTGTTTTGTTTTGTTTTATATTTTCTTGTATTTGTTGTTAGGCTATGTTCCTGCGTAAGTAATATGTTAGCCCATTTTGCATTTTTTGGGTTTTGGAAAAATGTCAGTAATCTGGTTGCTTATCTTTAGGTTTTCTTGGGCTGTAACAGGATCTATGGAGATTTAAATTTTCCTGATAACTGTGCTCCATTTACGTTTTGTAATTTGTTTAGGGTATATTAGTTTACTTAATGTTTTTTTTTTTGTTCTGTAACTTGTTTCAAACTTTTTTCCACTTACGTTGTTTCAGATTTCCTGAAGGCTTGCTTTCGAGTGAGCAAGGTGTCTACATTGCAGAGTCAGTCGCTGCTAAAAGAACATGAAACAAGCGAAGGGCCGTTTTCGGATGTATGAGGATGCCACGGTACCAATCAGTTTCTCTTTTGTTCATTTGGACCAATTGTTTTAGAAAATTATTCTTCAGTTTTTTTTGGCTGTTTGCATTTGTTTTTGTTCCCAAGACCATGGTGGTTCTAATCATTCTGCAAAAGTAGAGCCAGCCAATGGTTGTACAGGTAAAAGGAAGTCTGCTAAGAAACCTGGTGAGTTATTGTTGCATAATCTGTACTTTTTCCACTGGAAATCTCTCTTTGTTTTTTACTTTATGAATTTATTAGTAGCATTACAATCATTTTGATGTGCTGATAAAGGAAGGACTGCAAAGGAGGAGGCACGTGAGTTACAACTTAGGGAGGAGGCATCCATACGTGAGAGGGTCCGAGAAATACAGAAAAATCTATCTTCCATACTGAAAGCACTTGGGGAAATGTCCATCGCTAATCCTATTTTCGCACACAGTCAGCTTCCTTCCATGATATGTTCTGAATATCTTTTTATCATTTTTGGATTGTTGTCTTTCTCCAGCTTGTTATCTCTTCCTTCCATTTTTCTTAGATGGATTTTGATTTTTCTTATTTACTAATTATTCACTAAAGAAATAATAATTAAAACATAATTACTAATGAAAGTAATTAAATAAGGCTAAGATATTATTTAATTACTAAAATAAAAATTTATTGACCTAAAGATACTAAGTTTATATTAAATTTTTAAAAAAATCTCTACTGACGCAATTTCGTTGGCACAAATCTATTGTGGCAAAAATTTGCCTTATTAAACTTCTGTCGACAACGTTACGTCGACAAAGGTAAGTTTTGTAGGGAGAAGTCTAATCTGGCAATATTTGACGGCATAGACCTGTGCCGACGAAAAAAATTGTTGGAAGATGATTTCATTTTTTATATTTATTGTTATATTGTTATATTTAAAGAGTATAGCCGTGCGGCTATACTTTTTAAATAGAATATTACAACCCTATGGCCGAGCGGCTATACCCTTTAAATAGAATATTTTCATCATATAGCCGCCCGGCTATACTATACTCTTTAAATAGAATATTATAACAGTATAGCCGCGCGGCTATACCCTTTAAATAGAATATTTTCATATTATAGCCGCTCGGCTATACTCGATAAATGGAATGTTTAAAAGTATAGCCGCACGGCTATACGCTTTAATTATCAGTTATGTTTTAATTACTGTTTACTTAGTGAATAATTGGTGTTTAAATATTTTATTAAATAAAAAAAATAAGTTTCTATTTATTAAGTAATGTGATTTATGAAGTTAATTAAAATATTTAATACTAATATTTCAATAAATAAATAATAATTAAAATATAATTACTAATGAAAGAAAATAAATAAAGCTAAGATATTTTTTAATGTTGAAATGGCTCTTGGCAGTTGGGCCTCAATTAGTTAACCACGAAATTGGCACATTAACTGTAGAAATTACACTGTGTTAATTTTGGCCTGAACAAATATATAACATAACTAGGGTTTCTCTCTTGTGATATTTTGAAGATTGTCCATACTCCATAGTAATTTGTGAAGTCAACCACCATTCCAGGCATCACTAGGATTTTTTACTTACTAGTTTTTTTATTTGTATCCCTGATGAATTCTTACTTGCTATTTTTTTTATCCCCTGATGAATTCTTACTTGCTATTTTTTATCCCCGAACCTATTTAACATTGCCTTTTTTTTGTTTGTTTTTTCCTTTTCTTTCCTGGTCAATATATACAAGAGTTTTGTATATAAATGCAAGGGTTTCTTGCATTCCCTTCCCCCTGTACAGGCCGCTCCTCTTGCCTGTTTATCTTTCTGTTTAAGGTAAAAGTTTATTTATTTATTTTATGTTTTCAAACTGCATCTCATGGTTTCTTCTAGTCTACTGTGTGGGAAATTTACCTTCATGCCGATGGCCTCTCCCAGACCATCCAAATTCTTGTCTACATTGAGGGTTAAGAATTTGCTATTGCTTGGTCCTCCTACTTGGGATGGTTCGATGATCTTATTTTGCTGGATCTCTGTCTAAAATCTGGTATTGTGCATGACTCTTTTTAGGTAGCTGAGATTCTTGATCAGAAAAAAACAAAAATCAAAAGAAAAGCAAAGGCGGTCAAGATTCGGCCAATGGATAAAAATAGAATATTAGCTACTGTAAGTGTTTTTCACCTTTTTAATTTTTTCTTATTGTTCAAGAGATATATCAAAAACATGCCTACATATATATATAAATTTAATGGAAGCTTTCTATTGTCCCGCTCTCAAATTCAATACAATATGCAACAGCTAGAAGAAAAAAGAGAGTGCAAAACAAGGTCTAGTCTAGAGTTCATGACATGTTGAGTTATGGTTGTATTCATTTTTCATATTTTAGAGGTTCAATATTTCTTTCTTTCCTCTTTTTCTTCGTCTTCAAGTGCATGATTGATCGAGGAAGGGTAATGTAATATGTTTAGTTATTTAGTGGGGTGTTGTTGTTATGTTTTTAGGATGAGGAGGGCGAGAGCAAGGACTGGATTAATGAGTTGCCAGATTGCATATTGGTATCCATATTTTCACTCTTGACCCTAAAAGATGTAGTGGATACCACCATGGTATCACGTCAATGGAGGCATCTTGGATTGCAGCCAATACTAACAAGGGTCAATCTTGAATTTGACCTTGCAAACATTTTCGGAATCAACGACGTTCGAGATGACGATTTTGAAGACGACTTGTATGCTGAGGACTTCTCAAAACAAGACTTTGTAAGATGCGTGAACAAAGTTTTGCAGCTCCACCATGGCAACAAGGTAGAGTCGTTCAAAGTGGAATTCTTTTTTAACAGAGAATCCACCATTATCCTTGACGAATGGGTTCGTTTTGCAATTACAAAGGGAGCTCAAGTGCTTGACCTTCATTTATATTGTTGCACGTACTCGCTGTCAGAGAGAGAAGAGAGAGAAACTTTTTATGATTTCCCTTGCTGGTTGCTTTCAGAGCTGAACCCATCACCTCTAAAGAATTTGTCATTGGCTAGATGTTTTCTAAGACCTCCACCCGACTTTGACAGATTCAATCAGCTAACAACTCTTTATCTGTACAAAGCTGTCGTAGACAACATTTCTCTGGCACGTCTCTTATCTGACTGTTTGCTACTCGAAAGCTTGACCTTAGATAGTTGCATGGGAGCCACAGATTTGTTAGCTAAAGCTATGTTTCCTTGTTTTATGGGAACATTGTTTCCTTGTTTCATGAAACCTTGTTTTCTTGTTTGTAGTTGTAGGACTTGTATAAATATGTTGTAATCAATAAAAACTGATACAAGTTGAAAACCCAGAAAATTATCTTCTCTCATTTTCATATTCTCTTATATTTTCATATTCTAACTTCTCATGTTTTAGCATGGTATCAGAGCCTAATGGCTAATCCTTAAGATCCTCTGCCAAATTGAGAGTTGTTGGCGTATCTTCATGTTACTGTAAATTCTCTTGTTTCTCCTCTCCTCTATAATCAACATTTTTTTCTTTCTACCTTAGCCTTTTTCGCAGCTTCTTTTATCACTACATTTTTCTTCATTTTCTTTCCCTTCCAGTATAAAAATAAATATAAAAATTGTCACTACCTTGTTTCTGCTAAATTTCCTCTCTTTCATCTGTATGAGCAATAAGCCCCTGGGCCATGATGGCCTGATCTGTTTCCTTTGGGCAGTACGTCCCTTGATCATCATGATCCCTTTCCTCCGTGAGCTTCGGCACCGCTCACCGAGCCGTCGCCTTCCTCCGCGAGCCTCGTCACCGCTCGCCGAGGCTTCTCCAGCCAGGCCTTTGTCTCTGTCCTGCCGTGCTTCTCTGTCGTTGGTCCCTTTGCACAATCGTTGGTCCCTTAACTGGTGTTGTTGCTCTCTTGCACATGTGCTGACTCTCTCCATGGACTCTCTCTTTGTATTGCCGGCACTGTCCCGGCTCCTTAGCTTGCCTGTATCGCTCATGCAGCTCTGCTCAACTCTCTCTGTCTATCTCCTCATATCTTCCCTATCTCTGTCTCTTTGTATCTCTCCGTTTTTCTGAGCAGAATACTTGCTCTCTTCTCTACTGCACACTTTGGACACCTGCCTGCTTGCCCTCTGTTGCCACACGTGATGTTCCTTTTGGCACAATTTCTTTCACTTGTTTTTCGTTCCAAGTATGTCTTTTTCCCACGTGATCTGTGTCTTCTCACTGCTCATCTATTCCGCTGTTTTCCCCATTTTTTCTCTGTGAGCCAGTCTCTCTATAATGACTTCTCTTTATATTTTAAAATTGTTTTCTCACCACCGATCCCATACTTCTTATTTTATTCCCTTTTATTTTCTTAAATTATTTATTCTCCCTTGTTGCCTTTCACTTTTCTCTGTGTTACCCACGTGAAGGGTGTTTTTCTCCTCATCTCTTCGTTCTCATGCACACCACATTTGTGCCTAATGTTTTGGTGGGTATCAAAGTTTTCTGTCTACCTATTTCTCAATAAAAATATACATATGAAAAAAGTTGCTACTTTTCTCTTTCATGCCAATAAATTTGGCTTTCTTTCGTTGTGTTGTTTTGCACAATCTGCCTTCTTTTTCAACACCACTAACACTTGTCAACACCTACTACCCTACCTATCCAACATTCATCCCTTTCTCTCCCTTTGTCATTTTTTTTCCTTCAATGACAACATTATTCTCTCCTTTTTCGGTTCTAGCACCTCCCTTTCTTCCACTAGTTTCAATTTTTAAATTTGTCACATGCCTTTCCCATGCTTTACTTTTTAAATATTTTTAGCTTCTTCCTCTTTAATCTTCCGATGTGGTTTCCTCTACTGCTATGCAGTCGGCCTTTTTTCATGTCCTCTTCATCCTCTGCTTCCTTCTTCCACCTGCAATTTACAACTGCCTTCACATTTCTTCAGTCCCAATCCGCCATGGCAGCTCCATCGGCACCTCTAAACCCTTTCACAGTCCTCTTGTCCCTCCTTAGTCCTTTCCTTTGTGATCAGAACAAAGTCTCACTCGCTTTGTGATCTCCAACTTCTCTGTCATCCAAAGAATCGAATCGATACTGGAATACAGGGAATTGGGG